GGGAGGAGGCGCGGGGACAGGAGGCGGAGAGAGGCGGGGGCCGAATCTCCCAAAGTCCGTGTGATCTTGGCCGCCGTGGCAAGAAACGAAGACGGCCACCTGCTCGTGGCACCAACTCGGTGCCATCCCTGGCAAGCATGTGCCAGTGCAAAGAAGGGCGGCTGCGGCTGCGGACACGAGGGCGCCCTGTTGCAGAGGGCGCCCGTTCACGGAGAGAGGAGGGGAGGAGGAGGAGGAGGAGGAGGAGGAGGAGGAGGAGGAGGAGGAGGAGGAGAGGAGGAGGAGGAGGAGGAGGAAGAGGAGGAGGAGGAGGAGGAGGCCCGAGTCCTGCTCCTGCTCCTGATCCGTCGGAGGGTCGAGCGAGCTGCGCTGCCGAAGGGAAGAGGAGGCGACGGGGGGCGGAGCGGCAGGCAGCGACGCGGCTGGCGATTGGAGGGAGGCCCTTGTCACGCCAGATCAGGCCAGTGTTCGCCCCCTTTCCCGCCCCTCCTGCAGCCCCTGCAGGAAGTGGGGGGGGGAGGAGGAGGAGGAGGAGGAGGAGGAGGAGGAAGAGGAGGAGGAGGAGGAGGAGGAGGAGGAGGAGGAGGAGAAGCAGGAGCAGGAGCAGGAGCAGGAGCAGGAGCAGGAGCAGGAGCAGGAGCAGGAGCAGGAGCAGGAGCAGGAGAAGCAGTCAGCCTTCCAGCTGGAAAGGAGGACGGTGAGGCGGAGGAAGGGGAATGAGGAGGAGGAGGAGGAGGTCTACGACACCCTCAGTCCCTCTTCCTTGAACATCGTGACTTCTCCTCGTCGCCCCGCCAGACGTGTCAGTAGGGCAGGGGTGGGCGTGTCGATTGGAACTTCTTCACAGCTGAGTGCAGGCGGGCCGTTTTCAAAGCGGGTCTCGTCTCAACGCCAAGAACAATCGTCGTAAACGCAGGACGGATGGCAACTCGTTTTTTACACGAGTGATCCACACTTGGGTACTGCTTATGCCTTAGATTTTGTTTAAACAGATGGTTACGAGTCGGCCACCGTCATTTACACGGACGGATGAACGCTCCAATGCAAACTGAGGGGGGTCGCTGAGACTTTCTCACACGTTGTTACCCGAAGTGTGGACTTGTGCAATCATCACGCCACTAGAAGACTGCTCAGTTTCAAACTGGTGCCCCTGCTGCGCACTGAATCGAACACCCCTCATGTATCGAATAGTGCAGGCCAGTTCCATGTAAAAGCGAGACCCTCGACTGAATGGTAGGGCCATGGTGCGTTCGTCTATCAAGGAGTGCCTTTCACAGCGGATCCTGGGAATAAACTGGTCCTGCCTCCTCCTCTTTCTCCTCTTCTCCCTGTTTCTCCCTCTCCCTTCCTGCACGGCTTTCCGCGCGCGCCGGGGCAGGAGGAGAAAGAAGGGGAGGAGCGGGGGATGAGGATGATAAGCAGAAGCAACAGCAGAAGAAGGGTGAAACGGGAGTAAGAGTGGCAAGGGCAAGATAATGGTTATGGCGGAGAAAGAAGCGGAAGATGAGGGAAGAGGTAGACGGGAGAGTGAGAGAGGAGAGAGAGAGAGAGAGGATAAGAACCAGCCAGCTGCGCTCGAACCTCATCTGACGTCTTATCCCTCCCTCCCAGATCCTTCCATGTTTCTTGCGTTTCTCGATCCGCGGACGCGTGTCATAGCCGACCTGCGACTCCCACGAGAAGATCACTTCGTGTTACGCGCAATCGGGAGAAGGGGAGCTGCGTGCAAAGGAGGAGGAGGAGGAAGTGGTGAGTGAGCAGGAGGATGAGCGCGAGGAAAAGGACAACGACAAACAACAGCAGCAGGAATTCAAGCGCAAGGATCGGGAGGACAAGGATTACCAGGTGAAGGCGGAGGAGGAGAAAAGAGGGGCCGACAACGATGAAGAAAGACTCGGATTCGGAACAGTTGCCCACGCTGCGGCGAGACGAACAGCAGAAACAGGAACTGGAGAGGAAGGAGCGGGAGAAACATGATAGCCAGGCGAAGGCGGAGGAGGGGAAATGAGAGGGGGGGACCTCAATGAAGCAAGACTCGGATCCTGACACTTGGCCCGCGCTGTGGCGAGGGCACCACTCTGAACGACGGGAGCCAAGCGCCGAGCCGAACATGAGGCCCTCGCTGAAGCGGACGCACCATGCTGAAACACCGCAGACAGTCGGATTGTGACCTAGCATCGAACAAAACCAGACATGCGGTGCGTAACACAAAAAAACAAGCGGAGGGGGCGGGAGATCTTCCCGAACACTTCCGGGGAGGAGAGGGGGAGCAGCATTCCTGCTGTGCCACCGTCGAGGAGATCCTGGGAGGCGGGGGAGAGGGACGAGGAGGGGGACGAGGGGGGGGGGGACGGGGAGCTGCGAGGGGGGAAGAGGCGAGCGAAGAACGCCAGCTGGGCTCCGACACGAGGCCCGGCCTGCCCCCGCTCGCCCTGGGAACCCGTGCGCGGGACCATGCGCGCCACCGGCCGGGCCTGGGCCCTGCCGTGCACCAGCTGCG